TGAACTCTGCTATAATGGTGCTCATGAAGTACGGAGTCTACAACCTAAGTATTCTCTACTTTTTGATCAATTGATTAGTTTTTCTGAAAGGCTAGATTCTAGCTACCTGCATTGGAATCAGATGCAGAATTCTGTTAACAAATACAAAATCCTGGCCTTATCTCATACATACAGAATTGGAAGGGAGGAGGCAGAGAAGAAATCCTGGAATCTACATTTTTTTTTTTGGGTACCGGGGATTGAACTCAGGTCCTTGCACTTGTGCAGCAGGTAGTGAAACCACTGAGCTAAATCCCCAGCAGAATCTACATTTTAAACATGCACTTCAGGCGATTTTTATGCACTTTTTGGAGTCTGAAAGCCATTGATTTAAATTCTTAAACGAAGGTGCTAATTGTTACTGGAAGTCTGATCCTTTTCCTACCCTGTGGCAGCCCTGGCAAATTCCAGCTCCACATATTTTGCACAAGCAAACATACTGTGGAGTGTGTTCGGCCCAGGGCTAGATTTCCTGGAAATTTTCCTCTCTCACTATGGTGATTTAGCTCTCTTGCAGCTATGGAGAAATGAATTTTTAATTTTTTTTCTCCTCCTTTCCCCCAATCAGTATCCTCCTTTGAATTTTAAAAGATATTAAATCAATGCAGACATCCTGCTAGACCTTCAAAATTCTTAAAATAGTATACTACTTGTGCTTTAAAAAATTCAATTAAAGCATCATCTGTTAAATATCCTTACAAACCCCTACCCATGTTGGGTCCTAGAACACATTGTTGAAATGAAAACTCAAAAAACACTGATAACGGCAGCAATTAGGAACCCTTCATCTCGGTCCAATTGCCCAGCACATCAGTTCTATGAATGGACAAAAAAACAGCACGAGGACACATGGAATATATTATCAATATCTGAAGTAAAGAGAATCCTGAAAACTTTATCTAAATCTAATACTCCCTTTTGAAGTAAGCAGTTCTTAAAGCACTGTAGGGGAAAAGACATTTCTTTAATTTATGGCCAGGTTCATAACTGAGGCACTTGTAAGAAAAGGCAGATCAACAAGAGAAAAGCATATATATTTATTTAATATAAATTTGAAGACTCCTTGGAAAAGGGAAACCTGTGTATTTTGATAGATAATTGTGTAGAAGTATGAATAGAGGACAAAACATACAATATAATGGTAATAAATTTAACAAGGCATGTTTGTTCAGATTCCTCTTGGTATCTCTGTCATCAAGGATAAGGATGTTCTTTTCTCTCAGGTACAGGGAAGCTGCTTCTAGAACAAAGATTTTATGAACTACTTCAGGGGAAGGTAAGCTAGGTTTTATGGCCTGCTTCAGGGGAGAGGGGGTGATGGGGAGGTGTGAGTGACCTCCTTTCTTCTGTTTTCTCAAATGTCAAGGTACTACATTTTGAGATAGTGTGTGTTCTGGACCTCATCAGCATTAAGGTGGAGAGACCAGCCCAAATTCCAACTACAGGTCTTATCCATCCAAGGGACCAATGAATGGCTATGTGCCTTCACATCTGGTTGCTTTTACAATGAGTAAGAATATTGGGTTAGAACTCTAAATTATATGGGGGTGGGCTGGGGAACCAAAACTCTTTATTAGCTCAGTGGCACCATGCCTGCCTTGCAAGCACAAAGTCCTGAGTTTGATCCCCAGTACCCCCGCAAAAAAAGGAAAGAAAACTTAAGATTTAATTACTAATTTTAAAAAACTACTTTGGTACTTATATTACCTATAGGCAATTTTTAATGATTATTAGTAAAAATTGTGCTTCAAAAATACTCTTTCTTGCACGTCTGGTTAATAACATTCATTTTGGTAAACAGATATATTTTGCTGCTACTAATACTTTGAATAAATTTATCTTAGATTATTGTATACTATTTTGTTCTTACAAAACTATAATTCAGGGAATCAAGCTGTTAACAAGAAGAAATGACTTTAGGAATACTGTTAATTTTCAAAGGTGATTTTGGTTATGGGTTACTTTTATTAGTAAGGGAGAAAAATGAAAGAAATGGGGATTTTTTTTAAACTAAGGAAAAGGAAAAAAAGGGAATGAAGGGGAATTGATTTTTTAAATTTTGTGGTGGTATGAATCAAACCCAGGGGGGTTTGCATATGATGGCAAAGTGCTGTACTACTGAGCTACATCCTCAGGCCCCTTTATTTATTTATTTATTTATTTATTTCTTAAATTCTTTTATTGGTACATTTTAGGTATACAATACATTTACATTTATCATTGGGTGCTTGTACCTGTACATGATGTATCTTGGTTCTTATTTTTTTCCCCATTACCTGTGCGCCCTTCACCCCCTCCACTCTTCCCTATTTACAAAGACTTTGCTTCCATTTTTTTTTTCTTTTCTCAAAATTTTTCCTTTCCATTCTTTCCTTTCCCCTTCCCCTCCCACTTTCCCTACCCCTTTGGACCTTTTCTTCCTATTTCAAATTATCAATGGGAAATATAAAGGAGTTGAGCTAGTTTAGATCTTTGTGTAGCATTTGATTTCTACTTCCCAACTGAACAGACTCTGGTATGACACACTTGTGCCAGATTCTATGTACAGCTTATGATCTGTGTAACTCTTCTTTGTCACAAAAGAAACTAGGGCTAGGTCTTGACAGTGATAAAGTGAAGAAAGACTGAAGAATAGTTTACCTGATGGAAAGTACTTTAAAAATGCTTTTTCAAATTTCCAAGACTACCTTTCTAAAAACATTCTTTAATAATTTTATTATAAGCAGAACATTTATTTGTACATTTTAGATATACATAATGATCACATTCATTGTAGGGAATTTGTACCTGTATGTGATATATCTTGCTGCTGCTTTTTTTTCTCATTTCCCTCCCCTCCCTTTAACCCTTCTTCCCCTCCTTATTTAGAAGAGCTTTGTTTCTATTTTTGCCTTCTATTCTTTTTTCTCTTGTCCCCTCTTTCCTTATCTTGATTTCCAAAGTACTTCAAAATTGAATTAAAATGGAAAAGAAAATAAATTTAGTGTTTTTTCTCTAGTTTTAACATAAGAACTAAAACTGTGTATTTATTCCTATTATTTTAATATGGAGTAAAATAAAAAAAGCAAATATCTTCAGCAGACAGAATATAGATGATAACATGTTGAATAAGGGAGCAAATTAGTTTTTTGAAACCAATTTTATATACTAAAGAAGAACTGGACCAGAGAGAATTAAGAAAAAAAAGATGGGTTAAAAAAAGTTACCGATGAACAATTCTGCATGTACACACACACCCCATTCCCAAAAAGCTTTGAAGTCATTATGAAATCCAAGAATCTTAGCTCATAATTCATGTAAATTTGTTGCTGTGGAACTTATTTTTACTTTTCTCCATAAATACATTATTGACACAAGGATAATATTCTTAGCTTACTGACTATAGTTAAGGAACATTTTAGAAGTTCAATTTCCTTTAAAAAATAAACATCAAGAAGCTGTAAATCTCTTATTGTCCTTGTGTATGTCTCAGATTTCACTTTAGCTATTTCCAAACAGAAAACTGTAAGAGACTGCAGACAGCTGCAACCTAAAGAGTGAAGGAGCTGCCAATTTTTTACCAAATTCTTTTCGGGTACTGTTCTTTATATATTATTAATCTGTATTTATATTTAACTCCAGCTATTAGTCTGCCTCTCCCGGCCACCAAGCCATTTGCAAAGAAGAGAAGAGGGAGACAAGGGTTGCTATTTTTAGGCATTCCTGTGTGTGATGAGGGAGGGCACAGAGAATTAAATAACACCATTTGGTTGCTTTGAAAATGACAGAAACTGTTTGGTGTGGACAACTCAGCGCTGGTTTATATAAGCTTTCCCCTTAAGAAGGTAAAACAACAGAGAGAAAATTTTTTTAAGTACTTAATTAAAAGTCTTCAGGCTGGGGATTTAGCTCAGTGGTTCCACCGCCTGCCTCTCAAACTAAGGACCCGGGTTCGATTCCCGGTACCAAAAAAAAAAAAAAAGTCTTCAGAAATAAGTATGGGGGAAATTACACACCCATAAAAACCCTCCGGTTCCTGGCAAGAGGATTTTCTCTGCAGTACTTTGTCACTGCTCATTTACTGCGTCATTCTGACAATACAGTATCTCATATTTCCACAAGGCTTTTACATAATCTATAAACAGGGACAGAAAGGTGAGGAACACTGAGAACAGGGACAGTTTCGACCTCCCAAACTGTTTCGGTCAGAAGTCTGAGATGTTAATAAATGACACAGCAAGAGGAAAGCTGTGAAAACTGCCACTGTCTGCTTACTCTTCCAAAGGATGAATGTAATTCAGTCATAATGAAGGCTCTTTAATGTTCCTCCAAACCTTTTTCTATCAGGAAAGCCTGGAATCTGTAGGCAAGAAAGATAATCACATTTAAGATTCAAACAGGAAAAGTTCAAAAACTAATACTAAATTTTTTCCCTTTTCTTCTGTTTCTGTCTGTTCATTATAGAAATAGCTTTCTAAGGTTTTGTTTGGAAAACCACAGAAAATAAAAAGAAATTCCACCAAAATGGAAAACATTTCCCAACAAATTGGTGACAGTGTTCTCTAAATCAGAAAGGATGAAGGTGAATCTTCTAGAATCACCTATTGGACTTTTATATGAATTATCTGCATTGTGACAGATGCTGGACATCAACTTTGGAGTCTTATTAAACAAATGATTTTCTTCTACTAAACATAACCTTATGTTTGGATTCTTCTTCTATCTTAAATCCTTGTTTTCCTTTGCTGATTTTCTCTTTTTGTATTTTATGGAGCAGAAGAAAATAAGCTGCTTGTGCCTAAAAGGGATTCTCTCAATTTTTCAAAACCAGTTTTAAATTTAAATTTGGAATCCATCTTTCTCCAGACTTAAAACCCCATTTTATTAAGAATATAGATACTAACCTGATTACTATCTCTTAAAAAGTATCTCTTTTCTATGACCTGTGAAAAACAAAGATTTAAAAAATTTTTTTAAATTTTATTACATCCCATTCCCCCTCTTCCCTTAAACCCTTTCTTCTCCCTATGCACACAAGCTTTGAGAAACAAAAATTTTAAGAGCTAGCACACTTTTACTTGGAAAAAGCAGCTGACCATAATGGCCACTTACATGTCTAAAAGGGATATATTCAAAATAAAGAGTATTTAATAGCTGTAGATATTTAGTAATGAGTTAAAATTTAGTGCAAAAGAGATCAGGATTGTGGGAATATTTCCATAAAGGCCCACTTCACTCCAAAAATCATGAGAGATTAGAAAATGAACAAAAACAACTAAATAACAGAATAATAAGATCCCATGCAATTCCTATGGAATGGCAGGAAATTTGTCTCTAAGTTTTCCAGTGGTCAGCCCCAAAAGGTTCTAAACAGAATCCATAATATAAGGAAAACATTTGACTCCTATAATAGTACAGCTATTCCTTTAAGAGGAGTCTGTGTGATGCAGGGAGCTGCCCTGTCCCTGTAGTAAACAGTGACATATTCTGTTATGTCCTTACTGTAGACAAATGACGCAAAATCAAAAACAGTTAATTAGCTTCCTTTTGTATTTCATCTGCACCCTTAATTCAGTAGTTTTAGAACTGTCTGTATCTGGTCAATTGGAGAAATAAGTTAAAGTAATTGATGCATCTGCACAAATCCATCACTTCTACTGGAAAGAAATGCTAAAAATATACATTCTAACGTAATGAATTTAAGAGCGCTGATAAAAGTGAATTTTATTCTAACATTTGAGAAGCACTGCAATGGTTGCAGGGGCAGTGTTATTTTTGTTACACAGAGCTGCTGTGCTAAGAAAAGTTAGTCAGGCAAGAATACAGATTAGCTGGAGATAAACTCTAAGGCATTCAAATACAAATGATGAAGCTAAGAATTCCTCTGAATGAGAGCAAAGCATGTTTTTCCAGGACTGTACCAGGTTGTTCTCATTGGCACAAGAGCCAAAATATCCATATCCTTTCTATCTTGGAGACTACAGTTAGTTTAAGCCTCAAGAGATTCAGGGCAAACTGGCCTCAGAGGTAGAAAATCTGCTCCTGACTGGTATACATCTCAAAATACTTGATCCCACAAAAATGACAGGAAGATCTTATTCTAGAGTGGAACTACTGCTACCTAAGGGTATCTGGAGTAGGAATTAGTCTCTTTACACATCTTTTGGAAGATGTGCTAAATAGAAAACTGGGCAAAAATTAACTGTCAGGTGCCTAGGTTTCAGGCTACCACCTCAGTCTGGCCCACCTCCTAGTCACACATATTTTGTTGAGATTTAGGTAACAGAGAAATGATCCTTTTGCTTTTGCTAATAATTCTTTACTAGCAACTTGCAGAGGCTTTATCTTACTAAATCTTCTTATGACCAAGCAAATTATTCCTCATTTAAAAAAATAAAACCCTGCCTGACAACTTGGGTTACTCTAGTCTACACATCCTTATTACTCTAGTATATAACTTATTATATCTTCTTATATTTTAAAATCAATAATTAAAAAATTAAACAATATACTGTGAAACCTTTCCAGATCAGATACAGTTGTATAAGATGTTGCTCTTAGGGTAGAATTTTGTAGTGTGGGGGGGAGGCTAAAGATCTACACCAAATGAAGTTTCTACATTTTAAATTTGAAAATAATGTGGAAAAAAAAAATCTGGTTCTTTGCAGTGCTTCCCAGTATTTTGCAAGTTATGGTGTTCTGTTTTGGACAACAATGGCACACTTAGAAAAAGTTAAAAGGTGTATAGCACAGTAAGGTAAATGACCCTGGTTCTCCTTGTGGAGCGACTCTTGCTGCTCTGAGAACTGAAGGAATCATATCTGGGCACATTTGTACCCTATTTGTCAGTTAAAAAAGTTCTGCAGCAAGGCAAAACTTTCCTACTGGACTAATATTAAACAGGGAGGGAACTGGGGCTTATTTTACATGTTGATATATTGAACAAAAGGGCCAAATATTAGATCTATAAATAGTTAAAAGACAAATGGTCAAGAAAGAATAGCTATAAGGAGGGAAATGCTTTTCTTAGATTATACTTAAAAAGAAAAATACAGAAATTAATCTTCTTCAATAATACATACAGAGAAACATTCTATTTTACTTTATTAGGGTATGGAATATCAACATCGGGCAAACAACTTAAACTTGGTCGATACTATGTACAATGCAACTGTACGGTCTTGTGCAAGAAAAATAAAGGGTGCCCTAAGTTATAGTGTGCTGAGTCATTTTACATTTTCATTCTAGTTCAGTGACAAAAGATGATGCTAACAGAGTCAATAAAAGGAATGTAAAAGTTTCTGATAGGGAGACATTAGGGAATCAGGAAGATGATATAACCTTACCAAGAAATAGTATTGTTTAGGTGGTGAATGTTTACAGCTGACAGAACAAAAAGAACTAAGGCTTTAAGCAGATTCTTTCCAGGTCAGTGACTTTTGGAGGATGACAGGTGTGAATAAGTACTCAAAGAGCTAGAAAAAGGGTAAATATAAATTGTTTTAAGGAGAGCAATTAGGTATCTTTTTAAAAACTCTGACTTAAATCCAATAGCTTTCACCCTATGCTTAAAAGACTGAATATCAAATAAATATATCAGTAAACTTGAGCAATTATCTCAACAGATGAGAGATCAAAACAGTTATTATTCAGGCTGTGAAGTTCTGGATGAAGAAATAAAAGGACACAGCATTCTACAGAATTTAAACCTTCATAATATATAAAATAAGTTTAAAAGTCACTTAATTGAAGCCATTACCTTATCAAAAAACCTACTGATCTTGACAGCATTGGAAGAACCTGCAGCTAAGTACCGTGGATTTGTGCAATCCTAGAAAACATAAGATCCACAAATAAAAGTTAGGTCAAAACTCTTTGTTAGTTATAACAGTTCCTCTTGTACATTTCTAAACAATTATAGTATGCTCATAAAATATTCAAATACTTTTCAAAAATTATGATGTACAAAACAGAAAAGTATCAAAGATAAGACCATTTGTTCTTTGTCATTTAATCAATTTTAAAGTATACTGAGTCAATGTATTCCACATCAAATAATTCATAAAAGAAGACAGAATTGCTTGTAGTTTACTTACCACAAAATCAAGGACCTAATCAGTCAACCTGTTCACATTTAACCTTCCAAACCAGAAACAAAGCCATTACAGACAGTAAACACTTCATTTTTTAGGACTACTCACAGTGCTTAAATAATTAAGTACTACACAATTCATATGATAGTAAGCAGCAAAGAGGAGCAAAGAACAAAGAGAATAGATGGATTTCTCTTTTTATAGGCCATAAAGACCTACTATTTTTCATAATAATAAGCAACAGATATAGTACTATTATTTAATATAGTAACACTGTTTAAAATAAGAAGATGGGGCCCAGAAGAGATAAAACAGGCTGGAACATTAAAACTCAAAATAACTTGTAAAATCCTTAAAAGGCTTACTACTGTTCTCCTGGAATTCCAGTGTAGCATGGTCTCTGCTTGTCACCGTTCATTTGCCATCTCAAGAGACACAATGTGCATTGTTGTTTATCTCAAATACCACCTCAGAGTAGACTTTGAGGATGTCATGATGCTCCTTTGCAAGAATACAGTGGACTTTCGAGTTACAACTGGCCTTACATACAAACTTGCATGATGACTGAAGTTTAGTTTTAACTTATGACCAAAGTCTTGAGTTACAACCAGAATGCTGGCCGCTTGTGCAGTTGTAAATAAAGACTTGTGATGCCAGAAAAGCATATGCAAGCATACATAAGCATCAGTCTGAGCCCAGATGTGTTTGTGGACATGATTTCAGTCAGTGCTTTATTTAATCGCTATGATTACTGCTATCAAAATGGCTCCCAAAGAGCCAGAAAAGAAGCTAAGGAAGGAAGGGAAGGGAAAGCAATCACAATAGAAAAGAAGGAAATTGTGGAGAAATATGAATGATGTTCCTGTGACCGATCTCACTAATATGTTCACAGCATGTCAGAATCTACCATCTCGACAGTGTTGCAGAGAAAACATTTGTATAAGGAAGCTAGTGTTGCTAAAGATGTTACTCAAATTAGTAAGTCACAGTGTTAGACAAGGTAGAAAGGTTATTATTAGTGTGAATAAACAAAAGGCAGGTGGTAGTTATAGCCTATTAGAGTCTATAATTTGTGAAAAAGCTAGGGCTACAAATGCATATCTTGTAAAAGATAATTCATCAACAAGTGATGATGGTGAAACATTTCAGGCCAGTAAGGGATGGTTTCACAATTTTAAAACAAGAACTGGGGTTCATAGCTTAAGTAGGCATGGTGAAGCACCCAGTGCTGATAAAAGGGCTGCTGAAAATTATATACACCACTTCAAAACAATGACACAGAGAAATGATTTTTTTCTATCAAGTTTTTAACTGTGATGAAACTGGCCTTTTCTGCAAGAAAATGCCCAGGAGAACATACATTACTCAGGAAGAGAAGAAAATGGCAGACTGCAAGCCTATGAAGGCTAGGCTAACCTTATTTCTATATGCCAATGGAAGTGGTGACCTCAAGATAAAACTTCTCTTGGTTTATCACTCTGAGACCCCTAGAGTGTTCAGAAAACATAGTCATGAAAAATAGGTTAGGAGTCATGTGGAAATCTAACCCAAAAGCCTGGGTAACAAGAATATATTTTCTTGAGTGGATGAGGGAGGCTTTCTGTCCTACTGTTAAGAAATATTTAGAGGATAAAGGTATACCACTCAAGGCTCTCATCATGGACAATGCTCCTGCTCACCCACGAGATTTGGAAGAATTGGCTGAAGAATTCCCCTGACTCTCAGTCAAGATCCTTCCACCTAATACTCTCCTCCACTGCAGCCTATGGACCAGAAGGTTATACTGAACTTTAAGAAGCTATACACCGGGCCAGAGATTTAGCTCAGTGGTTCTGGCCCTGCATCGCAAAAGAAATGTCCAGTGTTTGATCCCTGGTACCAAAAAAATAAAAAATTTAAAAAAAGAAGCTATACACCAAGTAACTATTCCTGAAGTGCTTCCTGAAGGTTTCAGATACAGATTAGCTCTTAAAGAGTTCTGAAAGGAACATTACAACATCCTTTCCTGTGTGGAATTATCTGAGAAATCCTGGGCCAATGATTCTCTAAGGACATTGGGATCTTCCTGGAAGAAAGTATGACCTAAAATTATACAGGAGAGACTTTGCAGGTAGATAGTGGTGATGTTGAGGAACTGGTGGAGGAACACTCAGAGAACTGTCCACAGAGGAACTTCAGCAACTTCTCACTGAGCAACAGAGAATGGCAGCTGAGGAGCTTTCTGAAGAGGAGGGGGAGTATCAACAGTCAATGCAGCACAGTTCTTCTTCTGAAATAAAGGAATTCCTGAAAAAATGGACAAAGCCACAAACATTTGTAGAGAAGAACCACCCAGACAGAGAAAAAGCCAACTGTATTCACTTGTCTAATGACAATGCCATGTCATACTACAGAACAGTGTTAAAAGACAGAAACAGACAACCTTAAATCAGTTTTCAGTTCTAAAAAAGTTGAGACCTAGTGAGCCAGAAGCAGGTCCTAGTGGGCTACAGACTCTCCCAAGGAGAGAAAGGACACCAGAGGGGCAGATTCCTGATGTTCTTATGGAAGGAGACTTTTCTTCCAAACAATAACCACCTTCCATTTCATCCTCCCTTCCTGCAAGGCACAGATGTCAACTTGAATGGTGAGTACAGTATGAAACTGCTGTTTCTGGTAAACTAGGCACATTTTATAACTTTTTGGTGAATACATGAGGAAAATTATTGGTGTTTCTGGTAAATTATGCACATTATACAACCTTTTTATATTATGAAAAGGTTAGTTAAGGGGTGCTTTGGGAGGTTTGGAACACATTATGGATATTTCCATTATTTTATTATTATTATTATTTTATTTTATTTTTTTTGGTACTGGGAATCAAACTCAGGGACTCACGCTTGCAGGCAGATGCTGTGCTGTTCAGCTACATTCCCAATCCTCCATTATTTCTTATGGGAAAAATAGTCTTGACTTATAATCAGCTTGAGTTACAACCAACCCTTGAAAATAACTGAGTTCATAAGTCAAGGGTCCACTGTATTCATCTTTCATCTACAGACCCTCAGTGTTCCTTGAGAAATTGTTGTACTATAAGTCTACATGATTCCTTTCCAATAAATTTCATAACTCTATTTTATCCATATTAAAAATTTCAAGGATCACATCATAAGTTTTGACCAAAAACTTTAATACATTCTCCAACACCCCCCCCCCCCAGAGTGACCACACAGAGAGACTATACCAGATTTTTCAACGGTCAGAGAGTACTAGCAAAATCAGTCTTTGAAGCCAGCAAGCTCTGTATTTAAGTATCTGTGCCAACATTTCTAGACAGTGTAATACTACTTATGTTACTAAACTGGGATTACTTATTTATGAAACAGGGATAATAACACTTATCCCATAGGATTTTTGTGAAGATTAAATGGGATAATGCATGTCTGGGACTTAGAAGATACTAGAATATTAGTTCTCTTTTCCATTCTAAGAAAATGCTATCACAAAAGCATCTAACACAATAAAGATATAGAAACACCACTATATATACTGTTGTTTTTGAAATAATGTGTGAGCACATTTGTACAGCAGTTGGGGAACATAAGCAACAAACTTTAGACCTGCATTAGATATATTTTATAAAATATATATTAACTACTTAGAATGTCAGAGTTAAATGGTCAAATTGACACAAAAACTGAAATGAACAGCAACCCCCAGAAAACCCCCACTTTATTTTAAGGCTTTACAGTTTCAAGCTAACCTATGTATCTAAAGCTCTATTTTTTTCCTATGAAAATTGTACAGCTATCTGCCACTAATCACAAAGGCTGAAAGCTAACATCTCTGATAGCCTGTTTGAGCTTAAGAAAGAACCATTAACTAGGGAATATGATTCAATTATCATCACTCTGAATAAATACACAACAGATAAACTTTTACTACACATAATAAGCCTAATAGCAATTTTAAAAAGTAAAAAGTAATCTTGCACCTATTTGTAACTAGAACAATTTGCATTTGTTTTGGTTTTTTGAGTTAAGGTCTTGCTATGCAGTCCACATTGGCCTTGAACTCACTATGTAGTCCAGGCCTCAAACTCATGGCAATCCTCTTACCTCAACCTGTCCGATACTGGAATTACAGGCATGCACCACTACAACTGGCTGATTCCACTTTTGATGTATACATTATTCTTATTTTTCTATAGTTTCAACTGAATTCATACAGTATCTGACGAGTTAGGACTAATACTGTCTCAGTGTTTTTCCCCTCAGTATTGGGAATTCAACCCAGGAGCACTCTACCATTGAACTATATCCTCTCAGCCCTTTTTATTTTAAAATATTATTATTATTTGGGTTTTTTTTTGAGACAGGGTTTCAATATATAGTTTAGGCTGTCTTTGAACTCACTGTGTAGCCCACGCTGGCTTTAAACTCACAGCGATCCTCCTGCCTTAGCCAAATTACAGGTGTGTGGCACCACACCTATTGAGACAGGGTCTTGCTAAGTTGTGCAGGTTGGCGTTGATGTTGCAATCTCCAGCCTCAACCTTAACCTCCTGAGTAGCTGGTGTTACAGACACATGCCTCCACACCCATGCTTCATTAGTTTTTGATTTGAGACTTTATATTTACTTGCTGAGTTTTTTCAACTTCTGTCTCCCTTTGAAACTTCCCTGCATCCAATTTTCCTCATTTTTCCTTCCCTCATTTTTATATCCTCATGAGCCTCTACCCTCATTTCTGCTGTGTTCTTGAAGCTGTATACTGATAAAAGCCAAAACATGCTATATTTAAATTCTTTGGAGACTACATGTGCTGAAGTTCTACTACTTGCATACCTTTACATCTTGATAACAAATAAAAGCTGGTTGTCACAGAAACCCACAGGCACTAGAAACACATACATTCAAAAATATATTAAAAGTTATCACTGGGACAAATTAAGTGTATGCAATGATAAATTTCCCTTTGGAAATAATGCTCAAACAAACCTCAGCACTTCTTCAACACAGGTATTATATATTTATATAGCAACAATTCTTTGAAATATCATGGTCCAATGCTGACTCCCTGGGTATATACACTGATTATTCCACAGCAGCTACACAGCAAAATAGGGGACCTTCTGTGACAAAGCAGAATGTAAAAACTAATGCAATGGGAGTTAGGAACAGACTCAGTCATGGGGGTATAGGTGGAGTTGAACCAAGCAGCATCTACAAATGCTGATTCACAGAGCAAGAACATCAAAACCACCTGAGTTATTTGTTTTTTGTTTTTGTTTGTTTTTTTTGGTACCAGGGATCAAACTCAGGACCTCGCGCTTGCAAGGCAGGCGGCAGAACCACTGAGCTAAATCCCTGGCCCCTGAGTTACTTGTTAAAATTACAATTTGGGGTAGGGGTATAGTTTAGTGGTAAAGTGAGTCTTTAGCACATGCAAGGCCCTGGTTTTGATCAGTAGATCCACCTAAAAACAAAACAAAATCATAGACCTTATGTTAGACCTTATGAGTAAAAAGCTCCAGCTGTGGGGGGGGGGCAGTTATTAAAAATTTTACACAAGTACAATTGGTAATATGCAGTCAGCTTTGGGTAACCTTTGGGTAACTTAGTGAGCTTAGTCTAGATCAGTGGTGGCGAACCTATGGCTCGCATGCCACAGCAGGCTGTTTGTACTGTTTGTACTGTTGAAAGCTCTAAAAGGTTTGTCATTGCTGGTCTACCTGATTTCTAAGAATTTTTTCAGCTCCCCAAATTTTAATGTTAGTTGAAAGTTTAGCTAATGGGAAATAGAGTGCTTTATTTGACCTGTGTAATTTTCGCCTTGTTATCTCTCTCTACTTCTTGTCTTCATCTTTAAAACAGGGATAAAACTAGTGCCTACCTTACAGGGTTGATGAGAAGGTAATGCATGTGAGGTAATGCACAAAAAACATTGGAACAGTGTTTGAAACATAAGTCTTCAGTCAGTATTGGGCACTAGTATTATTAAACCATCCCCAGTGCACATTTGGAACACAGTGCACCTTATATGTTACAGAAATCCAACTGTGAACAATGGCATGTAACTATGACTGAAGCTGTTGACTGAGATTCTTCTCTGGGTAATGCTAACTGGTTATAAAACTATTTCTTAGCCTTCTCAGCCCTGAGTTCTAATTAAACTAGTTATCTCAGGAAGGGACTTAATCCTGTCTATATCCATAAGTGTATATAAATTAGTCTTTATGAAGCATTCCTACTTTACAGTTTGTAATTTTTCAGGTGTCTGATTGGTTGCTCTTTAAGGTTAATTCTGTTGCTTAAGCAGTTAAAAGATGCTTTTATAAAGCAAAAAATAATCAAATATAGTGTCATCGTAATCAATTTAAGTATTTTGACTTTGGTGTGATTTAAAAAACTCTTCTCAAGAAGAAGTTTGAATATTCCAATATATCAGCATACGAGGAGAAAGTGACTGTGTCTGTCTGATAATTCAGATATGTTGACTGCAGTCTTGACTACATCATGGACACAACCCCATTATCCTGACTTTGAATATAAAGCTTCCTTCACTGGAATATATGACGAATATAAATCTTTGGTTTTGTCTTTACCTGATAATAATCAAAGATATATTAGTGAACATACACACCAAATTAATCTCTTCTGCATTGAAATCCTCAGCCAGGAAAGCAGTCCTAGTTAAAACCTCATGGCGCTTGGTTTCATGAATCTGGTCCAGTTTGGTCCCTATTACCAACAGTGGCATTTGGTTATCAGCAAACTGTTCCCGATCATAATCCCTGCAGTAAATAATAATGAAGAGGTGAATATAATTTACCTTTCCAGTGAGATGTATAAAACTTAATGCAAGTAGCTTACACTATTTTACTGATGATTGATTCTTGCTCACTCATCACCTATAAATCTATTTTCCTCTCAATTTCTTCTACCTATTTGTTCATTTATCAACCCACTGTAACATCTGTTGAGTTCTAACTACTTACCTAACTATTTAAAATCTGTTCTCATGTGTCTTTCTAACAGACTAATTGACACCTGAGTGCCCAACAAGTATACCACAGTCATGTGTCCTGTCTTCCCCAAAGGTCTGTCTTCTAAGGCTAACAGCTCAGAATTTCTTCAGTGTAGAAACAGAGAACAGATTGAAACCTCAGTGTAGAGAAAGCTCAGGAGCCTGGTGTGGTACTCAGGCCTCCTGTCAGAGAGGCATGGCAAGCTTCTGGATACCTTTTGGGGCTGCATAAGTTCTATATCATACACATTTCTGTCTAGAAGTTTAAAAAATCAGGTCATTTCAGAAGAAGAAGAAATGGGGAAGGTAAAGGCTAGAATAAACAGAATATAGGAGATACTACAGTTTGGAGAAAGATGGATTAAACAAATGGAAATGAAAGGAAACAGCTGAAATATAAAATGAATAGTAAAAGGAAAGGACAGCACCAAACAATTGTTTGTCCTGACATGAGAGCCATGAGAGACAGAGGACAGAGAATTAGAATTATTTAGGTTTAATTCCTTGAGTCAATGGCTATTACAATATCTTTTTTTCTCCCTGTATTTACCTAAAGGTAAGAGTGGTAATATAAATAATATTTTTCATTACTGAAAGAAACATAAAGTCCACTGTTACTGAATTAAATTAAATTCCATTCACATATTGGGAACAAAACAGATTTGGATTTCTAACATGTAATGAACTCACTTTACAAGTCAACAAAATCTGCTGTTGAACAAGTTATGACAGTAAATCAATACTGAATAATATAATAATACAACCCGGTTGAGCATAGCTTTTCTTTTGTCTTTAACATTACTTTTCTTTCTTTTTGAGCAGTCAAAATTGGGGTGAGGAGGATGGTAGGCAATCTTTACGCCCTTCATAATAATCTTAGAGCTTCAGCTACTCTTTAGTCTTGGAACACAATTGTTTTTAATTATGTAATCTCCTATCTCATATAAACATCATTTTGTGTACTACATCAAAGCCAATAATAGCTCAGTATCAAGACCTTTGATGTTTCTTACCAATATTAACACTGTTACATGTAGTCCAAAACTGAAATTTGATTTATTAGAGAATGAAGTTTTCAGATTATTCTCCTTTAAGATTGCTTTTTCTCATATATTCACCAATTAAGCCCCATGAAAAATTTGTATATTTTCTATCAAATGGCTTCTTTAGTACAAACACAAGTCTTGCATACTCTCTTGCACATTAACATACATAAAGTATACACAGTTTGTTCTCTTTTTAGTTTTCCTTTCTTTTCACTTCCTCTTATAAATCTTAAAATTTGACCTTGAAATATTTTTTTAAACTACTAAGTGAAAAACCGACGGAGAATTTTATCCTGGATGGATAAGGTTGATAACTTCTCAAAATCATAGCGAGACAAACAACCAGGTATCCTATTATATGGACAGTGCCATTTTGGGAAAACAAAAGCAAAAATACCCTGCATTTTTTAGACCATTACATTTAACTACCATTGAGAGAGGATGTAGGATTCAGGAAGCAAGTTTAATAGACACTACAGGAATATATATACAGTAATCAGCAAACTCCAGAGCTCAGAGAACTATACAGAACAATAAAGGCATTTCTTCTGCAAATAAACTGCTCAGCAGTCTTTTTTTTTTTTTTTTTTAAAGAAGGGGATTAAAAGAAACTTAACAAATCAAATATAATGAGTGGAATCTTTTTAGATTCTGTTTTGAACATATCAAATACATCTCATGAAACAATTAGGAAAATTAACACATTTATGCTGAAGATTAAAGTTTTTTGAATTTTTGCATGAAATTCATATATGTTACCTAGAAAAATTCAAGGAACAAGAATGTGAAGAGAACACATTTCATTATGTTTTATTGTTATGGGCAGTCCAAAAATAGATCGATGGGCATTGAAGTGTTAAAATAACATTCGATTATTAGAGAATTACTGTGAAATTTTCAAAAATGATAATCATATGTTGGTTATGTTAGAGTCATTATCCTTTAAAGTTACACATTAAAATATATATAACTGAAATGATATGATGTCTAACATTTGTTTCAAAATAATCCATTTTGGGGTGAGAGAAAGTGGGGAGGAGGTGGAGATCTGGATGAAACAAGACTGCCCATAATGTTGGCAACTGTTGAAGCTGGGTGACAGACAAGTATATGGGGGTTCATTTTCTATTCTTTATACTCAGGTATGTTCCAAACTGTCTATGGTAAAAAACACATAACATAAATTAGTTAAGTTTTTAAAACTGGTTCCAAACTTAGCTGATATAAAAGATGCATGTTAAGCAGTCTTTTTCTTACTCTTGTCCTCATCCACTTATTTCCCTTGGCCCCTAGTGGGAAAACCACTTTTATTAGTTTTTCATTTATCCTTTTACTGATTTTTTTATACAAATATAAGTATATATTCTTATTTCTTCTATTTCTTACACATTAAGAAGTATATATTTTCTGTATCTTGATTATTTTTAAAATTTTTAACTAGTACCTATTCGTTATACAAAATAGTGATTTTCATTCTAGCCTATTTATACATGTATATAACATACTTTCATCATTCTTCTATTACATACTCCCTTGTCCTTCCCTCCCCATGCCCCCAACCCCTTCTTCTCTAATAGTCTGTTCTGCTTTCTGTCATCTGTTTATCTGTCTGTCTATTAGACTGAACATGTGAGAGAAAGCCTGATACTTGTCTTTCTCGGTCTGGCTTATTTCCAACCATTTTCCTGGAAATGAGATGATTTCATTTTTTTTATGCTGAATGATACTGCACTGTGCATTTTGAATATTTGAACTTAACAATATATCCTCAGCAAATCTCTGTTCTTATCTATGTGTTCTAAAGGAGAACACATAAAGAACACATAGAGAGCTTCCAAGCAATTAAACAGTACTCCAGTATGTAGACATACCATTATTTAAAGAATCTTCTGTTGGTGGACTCTAGCCTTGTTTCTAAATCTTTTGCTGTTACAAATAATGTACTACTGAAGCAATGTATTATGCTGTCTTACATATTTTCAGGTTCCCTGTAGGATCAAAATGAAAGTATAGGATCAAAATGCAAATGTGTCTATAATTTTTACTGCCACCTTGAATTTCCTGACAGCAATGCAAATTTCTTTCTCGTATGAATGTACTGTCTCCTACTCTTAAATTTAAAAATAAATTTCCTGAGTAAATATATTTTTAAAAAATCAATGAAAACGAAATCTTCTTCGAAAAGATCAATAAATTGATAAACCACTATAAGTCTGACAAAGAAAAACAAGAAACAATCAAAATCAGGAATGATAAAGGGTATATTATTGTAGATATCAAAAGGATAATAAGCAAATACTATACACAACTCTATTCACATAAATTTAACAACTTAGATGAATTTGTCAAAAAAAACAAAAATTACCAAAAATCATCTTAGATGAAATGGACAGTCCTATAATTATTAAAGAAATTAAAGTTAAAAACCTTTCAAATAAGAAACCTGCAGGCCCAAATGGCCTCATTGGTAAATTCTACCAAACACATAAAGAAGAACTAACATCAAATATCTCTTCCAGAAAACAGAACAGTAAGAAACAATGCCAAGTTATTCTATGAGGCCAATATTATCTTCAAACTAAAACAAGTGCAAGACATTATAAGAACTAAAAGCCACAACCAATATCCTGCGAGAACACAGAAAAAAATCCTCAAGAAAATATGACTAAATCAAATCGAGCAAGAAATGACCACAGAATGGAAAGATGGTTCAATATTTGAAAATCAGTTGATGTGGGGCCACTTGATCCCTTTTGGCAGAGTGGGACCATGCTTAAACTAGTCCTTTGCTATTTACCTTGCTCTTCTTTGTTCTTGGCTGGCCTGTTTAAGCTAGAATCTTATATTATTTTTCTCACTTTTTAATTATTGTTTTTTCCTGAAAATATATGCTTTAATTTTAATTTCCATTATTATGAAAAGCAAGGACCATGCCAGCCAGTGATACATTTTAGTGTCCAAGATGGGGCTATTTTAACCTGCTGCCTGGACCCCATAATTGACTGAGTACTCAGATACTGGACACTGTGGACGAGAAAAGCAGAGCTCCACATGAAGAAACACAAGAGGGAACCTGTTTGATCTGGAATTAGGCAAAGAGTTCTTATACATGATATCAAAAGCATAACTGAGTAAAGGAAAACTTAAACTTCATCAAAATAAAAATCATTGCTTTGTGAAAGACACTGTCAAAAGACAACGAGGAGATTGGGAGAAAATATTTTGCAAATGAAACATTTTACAAAGTGTTATTTCAGAAAGTACATTCTGTGATTGTGATAAGATTTTAAAATAACTGTAAAGTAATTCTGGGCTTACCCGTTTGTCACCAAGACTCTGGTCAGCACCAAATCCCTATTAAGAGCTTCCATGGACCAACGATACAAGTTTTGAGATGACTTTTTATTTGTTAAGTCATGGACTAAAATTATACCTAAAATAATCAGAGAAAATAATGTCAGTATTGTGGCAACTCTTCATTTCACAAGTGACAAAGTGATGCTCTATACAAGTACTAGGTGGCTTAATGAATCTTGTTTGACTAACATGCTCAAACAATTATTTTATATTCCTTCTATAAATACTTAACTATAAAACTGTCAGTTATATACCTTTAAAAAATTGTACAACGGCTGACAAAATGTCATTAAATATTTAGATGTCTTTTCTTACTCTTCATTCAACACTATTTGAGTGCCTACTTAATTCCTGGTTCTACTTAAAGAAACACTTCATCAATCAAGAGGGTTAAAACTACTTCAATATAATAAGTTGTTTTCATTCAAAAAGTTATGTGATTTCTACACTGTATATAGCACGCCACAGATATCAGTACAAATTTTACTCACACTCACTAAAAATGATACTAATAAAAATTTATTAAAATGACATTGATAGCGATGTAGCTCAGTGATAGAGCACTTGGCTAGCATGTGTAAGCCCTGCGTTCTATCTCTGGCACCCAAAACAAAAAACAACAAAAACAATTAAAATGTCATTGACTTAATTTGTACAAATTCCACTCTTTAGCAGATAAAATATTGTCCTGTATATCACTTGGGCCTATAAACTCAGAAGTTTTATGTACTATTCTTTGAATAAATGGCTACCTATGTAACCTTCCTACTTAAAAGGAGATTTAAGGTAATAGAACAAAAGAAACATGTCATTACAAAAAAGGAGAAAGAGATACTTAAGAAGCATGAATAGTAGAAAATACAGATTTTTGAAAGACTGAGAAAAATAACAAAAATGTAATGGGGCTCAGAAATTTAATTAAACAGAATCAATATCCTAGACAAAGCAGGTAAATCATTACAGTAATGTCTAAAATTTAGAGTATTATCTTGTTGTCAAGAGACTATAGGTTCCAAACTCCCAATCCTTTCCTGTATTACCTCGATTCTACTGTGAAATAGAACATGAAATTGATGATTCCTCAATCTTGAAATGTGGGGTATGACAATTTGAAAAAGGGCAGAAGAGGTAAAATTATTTGACATCTCTAGTTTTTACAGCCATCTGTATAAATAAGATGTGTGTGCAAGCTGTACCATAGTTGACTTATTCCAAGGAGCTAAGATACACCAGTGTCTTTCCCAGGGCCTGGAAAACCATACTGGCATCTGCCCCCACATACAAATGCACTCATTCTTTCCTCAGTGAGCGGTTTCATAGGCATCAAAAGCAAAGGAGAAGAAGGAGGACCTACTGTTAATATTTTGTAAGTACATATATGCTAGATACTGTGCTTTACATCAATTATCTTGTTTAATTTTCAGAAGTCTTATAAGGTTAAGAATTATTATCTTCTTTCTATACATGAGGAACTGAGACAGAGAGTTTGATTAACATGCCCTAGGTCTCATGGTAAGTAGGATAGCTAGAATTCCTACTCAGGTATTCTGACAGACAGGAGGAAAGCAGAATAAAATCTCATTTTAGGGTAAATATTTTCTCCATTCTCTATTTCCTAGGTATAAATATTACAAAAATATGAGGAAGTCTTTTAGTTTGGAGAGCAGAAGAATTAAAAAGGCCTAGATAGGCTATTAGATAAACAAGAAAAAGTTCATTTTTTAAGGATCTCTAGATAAGGTTTTTGAGCTTTAAGAACCTATAAGCACCTTTTCCTAATTCTTCCTTTCAATTGGTCTCAGAGTTCTTGCTTGTAGAATATGAGCTAGAGGAGGGAAAGGTGGGCCCAGGTGAAAGGAGTCAGACTGATAGGTGATTAGAATATAATGTGTTCTAATTTTAAGAGAGAAGCAGAGGCATTTTATGCAGTAAGTCCCTGACTTAAAAATGAGTTCCGTTGTGGGAGAAATTTGTAAGTCAGGTTCGTTCATAAGTCCAACAAAGTGTCTTATACTGTACTGTATTTTCACTTTTGCTTCCATGGTATTCCTTTCCACTTCATAGCAGTCCCCTCCACAGCATTGTTTTTCCTTTTGCTTCCAGACATCCTGGGCTCTGACTGAGTACTGTACTATTGTACACTATCACACTGTACAGTAAGCACACAGCAGCACAACTCTGACAATATCCAGCAGACAGGTGAGCTACTTCTGTGATTTGTTCCCATCTATGAATGTACATAATGCAAGATCCCTTTGTATCTGTGAAAGTTTGCAACTCGAATGTTTCTAAGTTGGGGACTTACTATAGTTTCCTACTGAGATCACTAGCCTTGCTCAAGAGAGTGGGATGTAGGATACTGAGGGAAAAAAGGTATTGCTAAGAATAAAGACTACATTTGAATGAAGTGATCGTTATGCTGTTTCTTAGGATAGTAAAGAATCCTGAGTGGTTCTATCAAGGAGAAAGTTCTAGAGCTAGGGTGAAAGAAGAAAGAAATAGGTTTTTCAATAAATAACATGTATTTTTTTTTTTTAGCTTTAAGAAACAGAAATATATTTTAGTCTTACTTGCAAAATCAAAATAGGATATGTATAATTTTTCTAGTGATTTAATGGACGATACAAATCACTAAAGAATAGTAAGTGTAGAAGAGATAAATAGATATGGAGAACAATGGATTTCTTCTTTAGTACTTATAGGTTTGTAACTCAAAATTTTATAATTGCTAGGATTTAAATGGTTTTTAATCTGTTCTATTTATTTCTAATTTTTATCCTACTTCTGTCTCAAAAGTTTGGATATATGCTTGTGTTGTTTTGTATTGTACTTTTGAGACAGGGTCTCACAATGTATTCCAGGCTGGTCTTGAACTCACTACATAGCCCAGGCTGACTTCGAATTTGCAGTGACCCTTCTGCTGGCCTCCTTCCTGAGTGTTGGCCCAGCTGGATATATATACTGTTATAAATCCAAATTTTCCTGTGCCAGAGAAGATTGATAATCTGCTCTGACAAATCACTTGACTGATACACAAGTTTATCATCTGATTATAAATCTAAAATAGGTTTCATTTCCCTCTCTGCTTTTCTTTGACTAGTTAACTCACACTATACCATTATAATCTTACTTTTTCTTCATTAATATACACGGTTAAACTTCAGTTCATGAATGCCTTGGTTCATGAACAATTCTGTTAGTGAACAGAAGTGTCCAGCAATATTTTGCTTCTGTTAGTGAACTCCACATCAGGTGACAAACATGACTGCAGCAATCTTCCTTGCATGAACACAAATGTGGCCATCTTCTCCAGAATTGTGGTATGAATTAAGTTCATGAATGAAGGTACCACTGTATTCTATTATTACATGCCTTTATTGTGGGCTTTCTTGCATATTGATGGTATATATTATCATCATTTAACTGTGTTTTGTTTTATCTAGAAATATTTTGTTTTGTCAACTAGACTGTGACACTTTCAGATAGAATATGGACTGAGACATGGGTCTGAACTAACACAATTCATCATATATTCTACACTATATCTAAGAACACTTTCTACTTATTTTTGTAGTATCCACAACATCTTATGATACAAGAAAGATACTGAAAGAGAAATATAAGGAAAGTAGGTATTGAATAAATACAATGCTTAACTAATATTAAGTGAGATCTAAGCATAGCATTAATAAGGTGTTATTAATGGCTACACATTTACACTGAGGGAAGGAATGTCAAATCTTTTGGTATACTAATCAAAGACAAGTACAAAATTATATTTCACAATAAAAATTTTTTTAAATGATCATAAGAAGAAACCATGGGCAAATCAAAAAGATAAGTGGTTCAGTCCTTTGATAAGCAATGAGCACTCTTATGAATTGCAATTATTGCCCGCTATTTACACACTTCCATCTGTAAGTTTGCTTCAAGTACTTGAACATTCATTACTGGGTAAAATTTCTGCTTCCTTAAACACATCCTTAAGCAGTTATTTACAATTACATTGGATTCTAAGGGGCAGATGAAAGAAATCTCCATCTCTCTGAACATCCGGCTTAAGACTACAAGTGGAGAAACATTATTCCTAGTGTTTTGAAAGTTCCATGTTTTATGTCAAGTATACTCAAAATATTCTATTTCTCAATCTTTAGTTATGATAATAATGTATCAAATACAAATAATATGAATAGATTTAAACAAAGCAGACGTTTTGTTTACTGTTCTGAATCATATAGCTAGAACCTGAAAGCATAAATTGGAATGTGATATGCAGATTAAAATAGTTTTAGCATATTAGATCATTAACAAACTAAGATGAGCCTGACATCACAGCATATCATATCAGATGATCTGTACTCCCAGACCATTAAAATGTGGTTGGAATGAAAAATGGCTTACCATTTACAGAGTTGTAAAACACTGCTCTTGTGCTTTTCACACTGCTGGCACTGCCCACAGAGCCTCCAACATCCCATAATTCTATATAATAGGTCTTTTCTTCTGGGGTTCCTTCTTTGTAGTCATGAACCTATCAAATCAATTAATTAAAATAATTATTATAACCACTAAAACTCGTAAGGACCCTCATTTAGTTTAAAACACTGGGCATTCCACATTAGCATCTCACTCTATGGCCTCTGCTCACCACTTTCTGTCCTTTCAAGCTTACGCTCCTTAATACTCCAACTCTCACAATTATTGACCCTAGAGGACCCTATAGTTAATGGGTCCTATCACCTTTTACCATTCTTCCCTCTGCTTCTAAAGCCTCCTTCTTTCCTAGCTAAGCATAAATTCCATGATACATCATTACCATCACTTCTTTGCCCCTCTCTCACATGGTTTTGTTTTTTCTGATTTGAATATTTTTTTTTAAAATTCTTGTATTGGTACATTTTAAGTATACAACACATTTACATTTTTCATTGAGAACTTGTACCTTTACATGATGCATCTTGGTTATGTTTTCTCCGTTCCTAGCCCTCTCTTCACCCCCTCCACCCTTCCCTATTTACAAAAACTTTTGTTTCCATTTTATACATTTATCATAATTTTTCCTTTCCCTTCTTTCCTTTCCCCTACCCCTCCCACTACCCCTCCCCCTTTGGACCTTTTCTTCCTATTTTGCATTATCAATTATTCATTCTAATCATTGGTACATTGTAGGCATACAATTTAATGACATTCATCACTGGAAATTTGCACCTTTACATAGTCTCTTTTGGTTCTTATTTTTCACCCTTCCCCTGCGCTCCCTTCAACCCCTCCATCCCTGCCTATTTACAAAGATTTTGTTTCCATTTTTCCATTTTCTCATATTAATTCCATTCCCTTTAATTTCCCCTACCCCTCCCACTTCCCCTTCCCCCCTTTTTTTCCTATTTCACATTATCTATTTATTATACGTTTTAGTCCTTATTTATACATTCAGTTTCTCACACTAGAGAAACTATTCGGTATTTATACATTTGTGTCCTATTTATTTCACTTAAGAGTATCGTCTCAATGTGCATCCATTTAGCTATAAATGTCCCTGATTTCTCATTTTTTATGGCTGAATAGTACTACATTTTATAAAAAACCCACATTTTCTTTATCCAGTCTCCAGTTGATGGGCATTTGGGCTGTTTCCAAGTTTTTGCTATTAT